CCGCGTGCGTCCACGCAACACATGCACCCTGTGCGAGTGTGCACGCCCTCCGCGGCACGCACCCACCCACCCGCATCCCTCATAGGCACCAACACCTCGTCACACACACACCCATCACACCCCCTGTCACACACACACAAACTTGTCACACAGAAACCTGTCACAATCCCACCCTTCCACCTCACACACACACGGACCCTCGCTCACTCAAACACACCGTCACTCACACCCCCCCACACACTGTCACTCACAAGCACACACACCCTCATACCGATCCCTCAGCCACACACAGAAACACACACGCTCACCCCGTGACACACTAACACGTACACCTTATCTCAGTCTCACACACACACACACACCATCCTCTCAAACATACGTACACACTACCAAAAACACCCACACATGCACACCTTCTCACGCACACACCTACACCTTCACACACTAACACACATGCACAACCTCTCTCACAAAAATGCACACACCCACACCCCATTACACACTAAAACACACGCGCACCCTCTAATCCACACACCTACACCCTCACACACTAATACACACGCACATCCTCTCACACACTCACCCACACCCTCTCCCACACTAACATACCCACACCCCATCACAGTAACACACACCCACGCCCTCTCACACACACCCCAACCCATCACACGCTAACACACACGCACGCCCTCTCTCACACCCCCCCACACCCTACCATGCACTAACACACACCCACACCCTCTCACATACACACACATCGTCACACACTAACACACACCCATGCCCTCTCTCTCACCCCCACACCCCGTCACACGCTAACACACACCCGCACCCCCTCTCACACCCACACCCCGTCACACGCTAACACACACGCACACCCCCTCTCACCCCCACACCCCGTCACACGCTAACACACACCCGCACCCTCTCTCACCCCCACACCCCGTCACACGCTAACACACACCCGCACCCCCTCTCACACCCACACCCCGTCACACGCTAACACACACGCACACCCCCTCTCACCCCCACACCCCGTCACACGCTAACACACACCCGCACCCTCTCTCACCCCCACACCCCGTCACACGCTAACACAGACCGGAAGCCCGTCGCCCACGCCAA